ATAACTCATCTAGAGATGATTTAAACTATACAGGAGGATGTGCCAGATTATATACAAATACTATGCCATTTTATATCAGATACTTGAGCATCTACAGATTCTGGTATCTACGAGAGTCCTGCAACCAATCCTCATGGATACCAAGGTATATTGGCAGTACCTGGATATTGCTAATGTTTTCCCCTCTAGCTCTACTCCTAAGACTCTACTTTTATTTATCTTCAGTAATAGCGTTGGAGCTGGCTCATGCCTATAATCTCAGCACTTTGGGAGGCTGAAGCAGGTGAATCACCTGAGGTCAGGAGTTTGAGACCAGCCTGGCCAACATGGTGAAACCCCATCTCTACTAAAAATACTGTACAAAAATTAGCCAAGCATAGTGGTGGCCACCTGTAATCCCGCTACTCTGGAGGCTGAGGCAGGAAAAACTGCTTGAACCTGAGAGGCAGAGGTTGCAGTGAGCCAAGATCACACCATTGCACTCCAACCTGGGAGGGATTCCATCTCAAAAAAAAAAAAAAAAAAAAAAATGTGGTGGGCTGGGCCAAAAATGAGACATGGATATTTTCAAAGCTTAAGAGTTGGGCAACACCTCACCTTCCTCCTGTAGACTGTGTTCCCTCTGGAGTCTCAATGTGTTAGTGTATAATGAAGAAACTTTTTTTTTTTTGCAATAATCTGCCACTCTACTATATTGCCTCTCCCTTTCTGGAGGTGTAGCCTCTCCCATGAGAATCTTCCAGGTTCTATAACATCTTTTTGAGAACTTTCCAGATTCTATAACGTCTTTTTGACACTTTTTGTTATTCAAATAGTCTTGTCTCTTTGTTGAATAAATTTCAATATTTGATTCAAAGCTCTTCTCTCTTCCAGCTAACATAGATGAAAACTTTGACTACAGAGGCTTGGAGTGGGTGAGAAAAGCATAGTCTGGTTGTTCTATACTTCCCCTTCCCTCTTCTAGGCACTGACAGGGAAGAAGGGATGGGGGGTGGAAGGATAGAATGGTTATCTTTCATGGCAAGACGTACCCACGCAGCCCTGTTACTCCCCACTGCTGTCTGTTAACTTTATGGATATGATGGATCTCTCTGCAGAATCTCCCTAATACAATGCAAATAAATATGGCAGACTCGATTCTGAGTCAACCCCTTCTGCAAATCTTCAGCTGCTACCACAGGGCACACTCCACAGCCCCTAGTTGCTGGGATCACCTTGCTCTATGCCAGTCCTTTCGGAGGTGGAACACTGGCAAGACAAGCAAGCCTGGGCATCTCTTGCAGTGTCCACATGACCCACAGAAGACTTGCTCTGCCAGACACTAGAAAAACAGGCTGCCTCTGTGGTACCACTTTTCTCAGCCCCTTGTCTCCCTGCCTCCCCTTCTCCAAGCTCCAATGACATCAAGCACTCTTCTGCTTTAGTGGCTTGCCAAAGTTCCGAAGAGAAAGGAAAAGGCAGGGATTCTCTCACACACTTGGTAATCTTGCAAAGCTCTCTCATCTTCTCATTGTCTCCTTACACTGACCGGGGTGCTGGTGGTGGGCAAGTGCCTCTTGGTAGCCCCTGTGGGTGGTCGGCCTTGTTGCTGCTGGTGCTTTGGACATAGAATGTGGCCACAGAGCAGATCCTGTTGCCCATCCAAGAGCTATTTGTGCACTTCCACCATTCTAATAGACCCTATTAATTTGAATATTCAACTCCATCCTTATTCCAAGACTCTTGAGGATGAATCTTTATTATCTTAAGCCAACCATGAGAATTCACTTTTCTAAGGAATTGGGGTCTAGAAAAGACCTTCTTACTGTAGCTCTTAAAACAGGGATCATGTAAGAGGCAGCCCCTTCCTGCCTTTGGAAACTGTCCTCAGGCTGGATTCACTCATGGCACAGGGTGGCTGCATCAATGCCAGATGTTACATCCACATTCAACAAAACCAACACATGGAGGAGCTTCTTGCCAAAAGAATGGAGATCTTTTTAAAAATGACACGCTGCTGGCCAGGCGTGGTGTATCATGCCTGTAATCCCAGCACTTTGGGAGGCTGAGGCGAGCAGATCACAAGGTCAAGAGTTCGAAACCATCCTGGCCAACATGATGAAACCCCATCTCTACTGAAAATACAAAAATTAGCTGGGCGTGGTGGAGTGTACCTGTAATTCCAACTATTTGGGAGGCTAAGGCAGGAGAATCGCTTGAGCCTGGGAGGTGGAAGTTGCAGGGAGCTGAGATCACACCATTGCTCTCTAGTCTGGCAACAGAATAAGACTCTGTCTCAAAAAAATGACATATTGCTTTAGTTTATGCAAAAAGATTAAAAAATATTCTATTCAAAATGAACACATTCCTTTTGCCCCTACAGAAAAACCTAAATATTCACACATTTAAAAAAATATGATTTAGATGATTATTTGGGAAGGCTACAGAACTTCAACCTAACAGTCAGCAAACTATTCTCTGCGAATCAATCAAAAAGGTTTTAAAATAATCTATCATTTTTTAAATGTTTCTCTATTCCCCTCACCTTCTCACCCTTGATAAGCACTACTCTGCTTCTATGTGTTTGACTCTTTTGGATTTTACATGTAAATGGATCATGCAAGATGCTTCTTTTTGTGTCTGGCTTATACTACTTAGCATAATTTCCTCCGGGTTCATTCATGTTCTTGCAAATGGCAGCATTTTCTTCTTTTTTATTCCTTTGTCTCCACACCTTTGCCAACAGGTACCTGTTGTCTTTTTCATCATAGCCATACAAACAAGTGGGAGGTGATACAGAGATGGTCTTACTCAAGACAAAACCTTTTCCTAAGCCATTTTATGTGCAATTTCGGTTACTTAGAAAATCATCTTAGTGGACACACACTCTTAGTGTTTTTGCTCATCAGCTTTAGATCATCGCTCCTTTCTGGGACAACAGGAAAAATTCCATTGTCTTTCTTGTTATACTGCCTTCTATCTGCTTCAGTAATATGCAGAGGGACTTGGTTTTGTTTGTAAAAAGTAACAATTTGTTGAGTATGATTGGGTCAACAGAGAGAGTAGCATGGGGTGGTTAATTCCCCATTTCTACCCAAGCTGAAAGACTGTTTTGACCCCTGGGAGAGGTGTTTGCATGCCATATTGAGGAGCCTTTGTGCGATCACATCTCTGGACACAAGCATGCTTGTTTGGAGCCCAGGGGACATTGTCTTAGGAAGTGGGATAGAAAACTGGAGAGAGGGCCCTCCCCTCTAACTGCTCTGCGGACAGCAGTACAGCTCCAAGACTATGAAGGCTCAAGGTGACAGAGCGGCATCCTCACAGGAAGCCTCAGCAGGACAGCAGTGATGCTTTTGATAAGAAGACTAGAGCAAAAAATCGCCAACAGTCTTGTTTCACTAGGGTACTCTTTGCGGGTGCAGGCCAGAGGTCCTATAGGCAAGTAGGTCAAAGTTGTATACACCTTCATGACTGCATTTATATTGAAAGTCTGTGGCTTTCATGCTTTTATGCCACACTATGTGACTATGGGTCACAAACAAAGAAAGGCTTATTTGATCTTCCTGCATGGTTCAATTTTACTTAGGGTCCAAAAGTGAACTAAATCATGGCCATTGCTCTGTTCTTGCCTTCAGATGAGCAAATTATCTTGCAGGCAATATGCAATGTACAAAAGAGATGTGGTCTATGGTACTGAAATTTTAGCACCTTTAGTGCATGTACTCGGGTTTCTAAACTCAGTACATCCTGGCCCTGAGTTTAAAACTACAAACTAGGAATATTTTTACTCAAGGTGTCTCAGAGTGGTGGAAGTTTTCTAAGACAACATGTTTTCTTAATTGTAGCATAAGAGGTCTTAGAAGACAACTCAAAAACAGCAGCTGTCCGTAGTAAATTAAGTGAATAGGAACTAGGGGGTCATGCTGTCTCCCTGATATGCAAGGGACTTCATTTCATTGGCAAAAAAAAAAAAATCACGTAAAACTGAAAATGATGTGCTGTGCTGGGAAATGTTTTATAACCAGCTTTCTGGAAAATAAAAATTTCTGACTCGTGGCATTTATCCATTTCTGTGATTTAAATACTCTTACCATGGCCAATTTCTTTTTTTCCCCTCTATTTTTCTTATTTTCTTTTTCTAATTTTTATTATTTTTTTCAGTTTTAAGTTCCAGGATACATGTGCAGGACGTGCAAGTTTGTTACATAGGGAAACAGGTGCCGTGGTGGTTTGCTGCACCTATCAACCCATTACATAGGTGTTAAGCTCCATGTGTATTAGCTATTTATCCTGGTGCTCTCCCTCCCCCAGCCTCCCACCCTGACAGGCCCCAGTGTTGTTCCCCTCCCTGTGTCCATGTGGATTATGGACAATTTCAAACCATCAAAATGATGTCGCCAGATGTAGACTTGGGAAAGATGAGCCCCATGGCCCTCACGGGCACCAGCAAACCATTGGACCTTCCCACCTGCCTGTCAACAGAGCCAGGCCACTGTTTCTGAGATTTGTGACATGAAATGTTTTATTATGGCCAGAAGGAAGCTTTTGAGCTATGTTGATGCCCAATAGTTCTAATAACAAAGCTGCTAAAATGTGTACTTTTGATGCAAGTATTGCAGGACTCCCTGACCAGCCTATTGTCTCATTATTTTCATTGTTTTCCCTGTTTGTAGAGGAGACAAATGGCTCCAGTGATCTATACTCCAGAGAAGTGGTGCTACCAGGACCTTTGCCCTGGACTTGAGGTACTTAAAATGGTTCCGTAGACCCAGGGTTTCAGGGCAGAAGGAGAAACTGGACCTCCATGCACTTGAAGCCAGTTGGCTAGGAGCTCACTCCTCTTCTCTGCATGAGTCACTCTGGCAGCCTCCAGAGATAGACATGCATGACTCAAACCCAGCCCCCTTGATTAAAAATCCAGTGCTCTTTGCAGGTCACACTGGAATTTGGAGCCCCCAAACACTGGCACATGCAGGAAGTATTGCTAAGAGGCAGATGTCATTTCTTAATTACTGGTAAAGTCCGGTCAAGTTTTTACATGAACGGGCTGACGCTTAGGGGCCAGAAGTGTTCGGTTATCCGGGACTCACTGCTGCAGGATGAGGAATTTAGCATGGATCTTCGTACCAAGAGCACCGGTGGAGCCCCCACCTTCAATGTCACTGTCACCAAGACTGACAAGACGCTAGTCCTGCTGATGGGCAAAGAAGGTGTCCACGGTGGTTTGATCAACAAGAAATGTTATGAAATGGCCTCCCACCTTCGGCGTGCCCAGTACTGACCTCGTCTGTCCCTTCCCCTTCACTGCTCCCCGCCACAGCTTTGCACCCTTTTCTTCCCCATACACACATACACCATTTTATTTTAGGGGCCATTACCCCACACCCCTTATTGCTGCCAAAACCACATGGGCTGGGGGCCAGGGCTGGATGGACAGACACCTCCCCCTACCCATACCCCTCCTGTGTGTGGTTGGAAAACTTTTTTATTTTTGGGGTTTTTTTTTTCTGAATAAAAAAGATTCTACTAAAAAACAAACAAACAAACAAAAAGCAAAATATCCTTGCCTACTATGGCATGGCTTTCAGTATAAACTCCACATCACCAAGCAGCAATGCTGACCTTTTCCTGGTGCTCAGAGAGAGAGGCACTGCCCCTGTTTATCCCCTAACTCAGCTCAATCTTTGTGTTCTGTCCCTAATAGCTGTTAGAAATACCCGTGTCTTTTCACTTCCAAGCTACCACCTCTGGGGTAGCACTGGTCCTCACCTCTCCTTGACTGGTTGATGCCACAGCTTTTTGCCCAACTGGCAATACCACTGTTACATATGTTCCTCTCTACAAGAGCACCCTTGTCTTCAAGCATGCCAAGATTTTCACCAGAATCAAGAGATCTAGATTTAAGAGCTCATTCTTCTTAAACTGATCATTTAAACTTTGAGCTCCAAATATTTTCATCCATAAAAAGGGATATGCAGGGATATTATAAGAAGTTAGGTAAGTGAGAGTGCTTAATAAAATGTGAAATGGTTTTCACATTTAAGGTAGTTTTCTATCTCATCATTGCACCCCTATGCATTTCCATTAACTTTCATTCTGGGATCTATTTCCTCAAAGCAGCATGAGTTGATCAGCTTTGTTTTGGAAAGCCAAGTCTCATGGGGATGTTCACTCATTCCTTGTGATGGCACCACTGATGAATCCTGAACTTAGATATGGTTCCTGACCCAGGGTACATATGGGAGATGATGCAATGCAGTGATTATTAGTGCTCTTTTTTACTGTAAATTGAAAGTGATTCTGTTCTTTCAAGCCTCGTTGGCTTTTAAAATATTTAATTTGAGTTTAGAAACAGTTTTGTTTTATCAGAAATTGATTAATCATAGCCTCAATAAGGCAAACAGCGTAAGCCTTCAGTTTCTACAAATCTCCTCTGTAAGATCAAGAATTTCTTACCTTGTTGGCAAGGAAGAATAGATGAAGGAAAAATTTGCCTGAGACCACTGAAATTCAAGGGAATACCAAAAGAACAGAGCCTCAAGAGGGCTCTAAGTATAGAGAGAGGAAAGACAGATATGAGTTGAAACCACAACTCTGCCACTTGTTTGTAGGTTATTAACCTCTCTAAATTTCTTCCAATTTAAGTTGGAGTTAATTCATAATGCACAGTTAGCTGCCCAGCATTAAAAACTTCTTGTTTTGGAGAAATCTTGTGTAAATCTTGAGGGACAGCGAGGCCCCATTTTCACTATGAAATCTGAGAAGGCCCCTGGCAGCCAGGACACAAGACCCAGGATGGCCAACTTAGTGTTCTCATTCAAAACTTCGAATCTTGAGTGACTCAAAGTCTGTGTCTTCACTGGATTGCCTCTGTGGCATGATCTTGGCATGGTTGCTGCTGCCTGGGTCCCCCTGGCTTCCCCAGTCCTACAGCCTTGCCAGGGGTTTCAGGAGCTGTCCAATGGCCTTTCAATTATTTATTTTATTCATTTCATTATATATTGACAAACTATAATTGTATAGAATTATGGGATACACAGTGATATTATGATATAGTGGAATAATTGAATCAAGCTAGTTAATATAGCCATCATGTCAAATATTTATCATTTAGTCCTCCTGTTAGACTGGAACTTTGTAACCTTTTACCAGTATCTCCCCATTCTCCTTCCCCCAGCCCTTGACAACCAGCATTCGACTCTCTGTTTCTATGACTTCAGTTTTTTAAGATTCCACATGTAAGTGAGAACATGTATTTGTCTTTCTACGCCTGGCTTATTTCACTTAGTTATGCTAAGTGAAATAAGTGATTTTCTTTTTTCCAAGGCTGAATAGTACTCCATTGTGTATAAGCACCATATATTCTTTATCAATTTATCTGTTGGTGAACACTTAGGTTATTTCCATATCTTGGCTAAGGGGAATAAAACTACAATAAACGTGGGAATGCAGATACCTCTTTGATATATTGACTTAAAATCCTTTGGATAAATATCCAGAAGCGGGATTGCTGGATCTTGTGATAATGATCCAATTATTTCTTTTCTGATCAAAGTGGCCAGAAATTTTTTTGGTGTTGCTTCTTTGTCACTGATAGCCTAGAACTCTGTAGACAGATATTATTCCCTTGTTTATAGATAAGAACATTTGGAGCTCAGAGTTTAAGTGATCAGTTAAAGAAGAGTAAGTCCTTAAATCTAGATACCCCAATGCCAAAGTTCGTCATTCAGTGGATGTTAGTTGCTCAGTGACTGTGTACAGGCAGTTGCTGGCAGCAGGGCCATAATGGTGAATGAATGATGTGGATGTGAAGCTGGGGCAGGGCTGTGCCAAGTGTGGCCTGGGTCCTGTTGGCTGATCAGGGCCATTTGGGGCACTTATACACATGTGGATTCCAGAGTCCAAATTACAGAATCAAAATTTCTGGGGATTGGACTAGAGAAGCTATCTGTTTAAGTAACTTCCCAAATAATTATGATAGTTGCTAAAATTTGAGAACCATTTTTAATATGGTGACATCAGCCATAATTAGGATGCATATATAGTAGGGATGTGTATATATCTAAATAGTAATAGTATAATATAATAGTACAGTATATGTAATAAATAGTATGCCAAGGCAGGTGGATCACTTGAGGTCAGGAGTTTGAGACCAGCCTGGCCAACATGGCAATACAGTGTCTCTATTAATACAAAAATTATCTGGGCATGGTAGTGCACAGCTGTAATCCCAGCTACTCAGGAGGCTGAGGCACAAGAATCACTGAAGCCAGGAGGTGGAGGTTGCAGTGAGCCAAGGTCATGGCACTGCACTCCAGCCTGGGTGATAGAGTGAGATTCCATCTCAATAAATAAATAATAGTATGAGACAGGTAATATTTCTTATTAATAAACTTTGCATGGCACAAAATAGCATTTAACTTGCCCATTCTGGTCACAAAATAAAAATACCGGCCCCATATTGGGTCCTGGAGCAAAGAACTAAGCACGTGCCAAGCCCATTTACATTTGTAAGGCTACTGTAATCCTGCTCACAGAATCAGTGTGTGGCATATCCACAGGAGAGTGAATAATTCATGGGTACTGTTATGCCAATGGCCATTGTGTTGGCTACTCAGTTTTCTATACAGGAGCAGAAAAAGGAGGAATGGCCATGTGACTTATGTCCATGGAAAACCTGTTCCTGAGAGTTTTTCCAGGTAAGTTTATGATTAATATTTTGATACTGTGTTTCACTTTAATGAATTATGCCACATGCAATTCTGTTGAAAATCACTAATTTTCAAAAAGAACTACTACTTGCATTGGCTGCAATAACTGGAGTTCAAACTTCCTGTAAACTGCCTCTGTGAATCCCCACAGCTGTCAGCTTCTTTGAAGTGGGATGGTGACTTCTGACCTTGGCTCACTCATTACGCAGCTAGAGGAGAAAGACTTTTACCTTAGGCTGCTTTTTTCTCCTATGGAAACTGGTTTCTAAAGACAGAAGAGACATTCCCTAAAATGACATTTCTGACATGTGGGGTAGGTGGTTAGCAATTTATATATAAATTTAGGATATTATCCTACTTTGAATTAAAAATATATCTTACCCTTTACTGGAGCCGCTCAGTACAAAGGTCTCTGTCTACCTTATCACTCCCCTACATATCCCAAGAGGCTGTGATCTTACATTAATAAAAATGGTCAACAGGCTTCAATCATCAATAAATATTTATAGAGCATTTACCTGGGCCATATAATTATGGCATATGGGAGATGTGAGTGTGGAAAATGTATAGGTAGGTGTTTGGGATGATGAAAAAAGGAGAGGAAAGCAGAATTACTATTCTAATGGTAACACAGGAAGTGTTTCAGTGTGTTGTTTGTTGAGTGGAATGAACCTCTTCCTAACTTCCTCTGTCTAATTGATGGGAAAGAAGCACTAGACAGCTTGAGACAGTTGAAAATGTGAGTCTCTTTCAATGTCCGTGACTCCAGAAAAGCATACAATCCCTCTCAAAACACTTAACAAATGCCAACTCTGTGTCAAGTGCTGGGTGTTCAGTCCCGAGGTCAGGAAGTAGAACTTTGGTAAATAGTAGTCCCCACCTTATTCATGGAGTTTTAAGACTCCTAATGGATGCCTAAATCTGTGGATAGTACCGAAACCTATATATACTAGTTTTTTTTTTTTTTTTTTTTTTTTTTTTTTTTTTTTGCTGATACATACATACCTATCATAAAGTTTAATTTATAAATTAGGTACAGTAAGAGAATAATAACAAAATAGAACAATTATAACAAGATGCCAGCATCACTACTCTTGAGTTTTATGGCCATTTTTAAGTAAAATAAGGGTAACTTGAACACAAGCACTGCAATACCAAGACAGCTGCTCTGATAACCAAGAGGGCTACTAAGTGGCTAAGGGCTGGAGAAGCACAGGCGGTGTAGAAGTAAGTGCTGGACAAAGGGATGATCCGTGTTCCAGATGGGATGGAGCAGGATGGCATGAGATTTTGCCACACAACTTAGATCAGTGCACAATTTAAAACTTAAGAGTTGTTTATTTCTATAATTTTCCTTTTATTAATTTCAGACTGTGATTGGCTGTGGTTAACAAACTGCAGAAAGCGAAACTGTTAAGGGTGGACTACTGTAACTCTGGACAATTTCCTCAACTCTGACCAAGATCAAAGCAAGGCTCTTGCAAGTATTTCTGTAACTTGCAAAATGTATATGTTCTATAAGCCTTTCCAACCACATCAACCTAAAATAGAAATGTAGACAGACTGAAAATAGAAGTGGCTAAGAGGAAATTGCTTCAACCATGGGGGTAATTTTCATTTCTGGTAGTCATAAAAGCAAACTTTCTATCCTAGTCTTCCTGAGTTTGATGAACCTCCATTACTACAGTTAGTGGTTTTAATAGTAGTGAGCAGTGATTGCTATGGGAAGGTTCAGTTTTGTTCTTTATCTACGCTTGAAAAGGGAGGGTTGGAGGTGGTCAGAGCCCATGAAATTAATACAGGAAAAGAATCAGAGAAA